GAATTATCCTAAAGACTTTGGAATGCAATAAAAGGACCTTGAAAATGCTTGCGAAGGATTTACTTATTTCAGATTATTTGCTTTTACATATTCCTTTTCTTCTCCACCCCCCCACCCCCCAATACATCACATGCGTGTGCCTAAGTGGAAAATGGTTAGTATTGGGGAGCGATTCGCGCGTAACTTTTAATCGACAGTTAAGAGATTAATTATAAACCGTACACATTATCAAGTTCAGCGTTAATATTTGTATATAATTTTGTACATGGCTATCCCATGCGGTCACTGGTAATTGTTAAACTTGTTTTATCTTAAAAGGGCATCTTCACGCAGCATTTTCCCTATCTCCGTAATGTTAAAAATGACCAAATTTAAGGAACATTTTTAAAAAATTGGCAGGTTGTACAGTCATGAATGTTTTTGTGTGCATTCACTGTATTGTTTTTATTATTTTAATGGGAGCATTTGTCAAAATTTTGATTAATTTTTTTTTAAAAAATTCATATGTTGAGTAACACGTCAAAATTTTTAAAACGTTGAAAATTCTTGTACATTTTAATCCATAAATATTTTTTGAATAACTTTTTTTGACAAAATCTCTCATTAAAATATTTATTTGTATAGTTTTAACACATGTGCAAAGTTTCAAGGCTACAAAATAAGTAGTTTTTTCAAAACTGTTCCTTTTGTGTTGAAATTTACACTTTTGAGAAATAGTGATTTAAAGTAAAAACTTACTATTAACTAATACATACCAGAACTATAACTTGGATTGCTGGTGTCACTAGTAAGATCATTTTCTTGTCTACATTTTAATTCTTTGTTTTTAATTCTAGCTTCTTTGGTTCATTGTAAAACTGCCTATTCTGCTTTCTTAATACACGCATGATCTACTTATTGCAACGCTCGACATTTGTAAAATCCAGGGGTTGTTGAATGTTTAATACATCTAAAACCTTTAATTTAGTAATAAAGCATTGATTCTATGAAGACATAGCTTCATGTACTCCAGTTTTTAAAGTTCACAAATACAGTTTTTGGAATTATAGACCAAATGCTATTTACGCTTTCACTAAATTTTTGAGTTTTATCAAACAAGCATCTAGATAAAAGTTCAAGACTAGAGACCTCTAAATACTTTTCTTATGCAATTCCTAATTGCAATAGGTAAGTTGTGTTTATGCTTATATGTGTAACCTTTCAGCATGGACATATATCTACACCACGAGTCACCTCCCATGGGGCATAAACCGTTTCGTAGATTCAAATCTGGGGAGATTTTATCAAAAATATAGCCCAAATAGCTTGCCTTATGGCTGATAAGTTTACTGAGTTGTTTTGAATAGCCGAAACATAGTATCTTTGCAATTTATCTATTTCTGCATCTGTCAATCTATTACGCAATTTTTTTGTTCTCGAGCTGTTTGCCTTTTAATTTTAATGCCCTAAGTTGTGTCCCCATCCTTTTCTCAACATGACCAACACATTCTAATTTTTTGATGTTGACATTCCTTTAAAGTTTAAATTCTAAAACTGCTTTGCATGCTTTAGAGTTCCCATATAGTTCAAGTATTGTGTACATCGTAAATTGTGCAATGCCTTTGATCGATGGAAGATTCCAAGTGCACCTTCAACTTCCATTCTAGTATTATTCCCAACGTAATTTGTCAAATACTCATCGCTATGTACATTGCCGTTAAAACGCAATGTATTACGCAATGTACGTTACGCTATGTATTGCCGACTTTTGCACCTGACCCTTTTAAATACATTATCATCAGATGCAAATAAATTCGTTGTGCGAGCTTAGACACTGTTTGGTGCATACAGGGCCACATAAGTTCATCTTATATCTTTCAACTTTATCTTTATTCAATTCCTACTCACACACACTATTAGCTCATACTCTCTATATATTTTTATTTATCTTCGTGAAATTTTCAATCGTTAATAAAATACATTTTAAAGCACTCAATTGAGCTGAAATTTTGCATACATGATTATTTTGGATGACAATACAATAATTTAATTATAATTAATAAAAATTAATTGATTATAGCTAATTATTTAAAGAATTACAAATACAGCTACGTTGGCATCCTTTTTGGCGATCCTTTTGGCGACTTATATCAAAACTAAAAAGGTTTTTTTCTCACGTGTTAAGACATTCATTTGAACTGAAATTTTATATACACGATACTTTAACGATAATTAATAAAAATTAATTACCACTTAATGTTGTGATTCTGTTATATGTATATACATATTTATATTAATTGTAACTATTTAATAAAAAGTAGCTAAAATAAAAATTTTCTTTGTTCATCTCAGAAGGAATTGACTTAATTTTTTTTATATTACTTGTTTATTTGTTTAACTCCGGTCTGAGTAAAAATATGCTAAGCATTGAGAATAGCTTGTGTTTTTCTCAAAAAAATTTTAGTTTAAATATTCAGTTGTCACTGTTTTTTACGCATGACGTGTATATTCGTCATGACACAAAATCCTGCAAAATCTCCATATCGAGTATACTCGTCAATCACAGTTTACTTAAGTATAATGTGCTTATACTTATGTGAATTATATTATTGCAAATAAATATGTACTCTTTAAAATAAACTTCGTGTAAAAAGAAAAAGTAGGCAACAGGGAACCATATGAGCTGATTGGCTCGAAATATATGATTGCATTTATATCATGTGACTATAATGTCACATAAACATAGTCCATTACAATGAAAAAAAAGTTATTGTTTTGTGGTGCAGAACTTCTTACGAAAAAAAAAAAATCCTTTAACTTTTCATTTCGACATGATCATTGTGTGAAACCAATTAAAATACTTGTAGCTATGAATGCAAATCTTAAACGTATTAATAAAAGGTGCTTCCAAGTTATTCAGTTAAAACTCAATATCTTGTAAGCTTAAGTTTTTCAATAGAATTATTTCAAAAATATTATTCAGTCATCCATTTTTCTTACCATATTTTCTCATCATGACCCAAAGAATTAAACACTTTCACAATACTTTATGTGTCCATCCATTGATAAAAATTGTAATGACTCTAGATAGTCTGGACTTGACATTTCCAGCATTTTATCAAGTTTCGAAGTATATGTTTTTTGAACATTTCTTTCGGAAATGTCATCTTATGTTTAGTTAAGTTAAAAACCAAAATGGTAAAACGGACGGAACTATTGCAAGAAATTTTTGGAACAAAATAGAATAGTTTTATTTCTTTAGTACTTCAAATAAAACTGATTTTAAAGAACTAAGTTGAATGTTTTGATAACATAATACCCAGGTAGAAGAAAAATAAATACCCTTTACATGTACTTTTCTTGTATTTGAGAATATCAAATAGTACTCTTGTTTCAAATTTTGCTTCTTAGTGACATTAAAATATTGACTATTTGGAATTACTTTTTGTTTCTATTATGCAAGAAGAATATTTAAGGAGTACTGCTGAATTTAAAATAAATATTATAAGCTCACACATACCCACCACACATTGAAGCCCTAGGCACATGTCTTGCTCCACATTCCAAAACTATAACAAAGTTATTTTTTGAATATAAATTTTTAATATTTGTTTTTAAAAAATTCTAATGGCATATTATGAACAATTACAGCAGAGAACAAGTATAAAGAAAAGAGAAAACACAATATAACAAATAAAGCCGAAACAGTGTTCATTAATCCAATATATCTCTTGCCTCCCAGTAACGCTCGTTGAAAAAAGTCTTGCGCAGAGCAGGGCAGTGTAAAAGATATGCGGAGTCCATAACCACTCCAAAGCTGCGCAGAGTGCGTATCGGGGAAAGAACGACTATGAATCCATAATGATGGTTTTACAGACCATCATGTCCGGCGGCTGTCCAGTAACCGCTCTATGCCTTGGGTCATTACGCAAATCCAGGATTGCATTCTTCCAAGACTAATGGGAAACACTTTTATAGAGGTCTTCTTGAGCATGGGCTTTGATAGATCTTTTAAGCGAATTTATAATGGAATGGAAGGGCACAGGACCAGAATTTTTTGCATGATAAATGCACCCTTTTTAGCCAAGAAGTCAGCTTTCTCGCTACCTGGAACTCCACAGTATACAGGAACACACAAGAGGAGTCTATTTTTCTCAATTGATGCCAAGTCTTTTAATTTCTCTACTATTAGTTCATTCTTTCCCTATATATATATTTATACACACACACACACACATATATATATATATATCTTGCATAAATTTTCAATCGTTAATAGAATAGTTTCTATCCATCCATTCTTTTAAAATTGTAGTGGATGACACATGATGTTAATACACTTTTTTCAAATATTAATTCATTAATTAAATTAAAAAATGAATAAATAGAAACGAACAATTATAACAATACAGCAGTATATATATAAAGGAAAAGTGTTCGTCGTGTTCCTGTACGGCAGGGGTGACCAACCCAAACGATCTCGTGGGCCACTTCGTAAGAATTTTACAATCCCGCGGGCAGAATATAAGAACATATCTTTATATTAGATTTGGATCCATTACAAACATTTGTTGGAGAGAAGATTTAAAACAGACTGATATATTATTGTTTTCATTATTTTTTAGGTATACAGACATAGATAATATAATGATTATATAGTATAATTATGCAATGATCAAATAATGTTTAATTTATTTAATTAGACATCTGTTTCTCAATTATTTCGCTTAGTTTTTACAAGTCCATCTCAATGCATGTGTATTTGCGTATCATAATTGATGTTGCAGATTTTCGTGCGTTAAGTTTGAGCATGATTTATGTTTGATAAATTTCAATTTAGAGAGGAAGAAAAAAAGATTCGCAGTAACAGAAGCAGCGTGATAAAAAAATAACAGTTATGGTATTTCTTTTTTACAGATGCTTCTGTTACTGCGAATCTTTTTTTCAACCTCTATAAATAAAAAAAAAAAATAGTTGAATTTTGTAAAGTTGTAAAGAATCTCACCGGCCACGGGTTGGGCACCCCTGCTGTAGGGCAATGGATAGCGCGTTGGACTTCTAATCCAAAGATCGTGGATTCAATTTCCACCTGGGATGGCCTAATTTCTGAGAACGTGATTTCTTTTCTACTATGCTATATTATTTGAGTCAGTAAACTTAATTAATGATTAAATAGTAAAAAACAAACAAAAAAATAGTCCAACATTATATATAGAAAGAAAAATGGAAAATTGCAAGGAAAATCGCTTTCTATTTTTCACTTAAAATTGAGGTTCTGTTATATGTACATACATATTTATTTTAATTGTAACTATTTAATAAAAATAAGCTAAAATAATTTTTTTTGACCGTAGTAGGAATTAACGTAATCTACACTATTAAAATTCGTACGTATCTATCTATCTATGCCCGTCTACCTTCTCACGAACCGCGCCACTCAGAAACTTGCCAAAGGTACCATAAGATTGGGAATAATCGAAGAATGCAGTTATGACCATTTTTATTTAGATATCGTAATTAGTTAAAAAGATATTAATTAAATACATAAAAAACTGGTTTTTGGCGCAAACTTTTATTTGTCCGCATTGTTGTGAGAAGGTTATTGTTACAACAATGACAAAAATTGGCGTCAAAAATCGATTTTCAACCTAACTTACCATAGGTCTTCATTGTTACAACAATGCAGACGAATTGTGTCTTAAATCGTTTTTAATTAATATTTTTGAAACAATTGCAACTTAAGAAATCAAATGGTTAAAATGGATTCCTCGGATTATTTCCATCTTTTGGTATCTTTGACGCGTTTTTGTGTTTTTCGTTTCATGCGTAGATAGCCATACATAAATAGAAACTATTGTTTACCTATGAATTTAAGAACATGCATCCAAAACTAAGCATTCGTTTCAACAGCTAATTGTAAGAATTTTTTGATTCATTGCTTAACAAAAATAGATATAAATTAATATTTTTTTTAAAAAAAAATAGATCTGTATTTTTTTTTATTATTCATTACAAAATTAATTATTTAATAATAAATTCGTAGATTGTCTGTTTTCTTGAGAATAAAACTGGATTAGCTTTGTAAATTATTAATCAAAAGGGGAAATTTGAAAAAAAAAAAAAAAAAAATCTTATCCCGGGGGTGGGGGAAAGAGTTTTATACTTGAAAAATCCCGTGCAAGACGCTGAGAGGAACAAAGGAAAAGAAAAAAAAATGGAAAAAGCAAATTTTGAAAAAGAAAACCCTGTTTAAAAAAAAAAAAAAAGAAGTGGAAGAAATTTTGTACAACGGAATTTAAATGACAAAAATATAGAAATCACTCTCATCGCACATGACATACATCTAGAACTGCTGGAGTCCAGAGATAAAGGGAAAGTTTCCACGGGGATTAGGTTATAATCCCGAAAAAAGCCCATGCAAGGCCGGGCTAAGCAGAGAGTAAACAGAACCATACGAAGGGGTGAAGATGTGGAAGAAACTTCGAAAAAAATAACTTTAATGACATTAATACAGAAATCACACAGACACCGGAAGTGCTGAGACTGAGAGGTAAAGCGAAAATTTCCCAAGGAGAAAAGCTGTACAATTGAAGAAGCCCATGCAATGCCGAGACTTGCAACTTGTTTTTTTAATATCAATTGTTAAGAAGATTACCACAATTCAATATATCCTGTGTTATGGGATTATTATTAGAAATGAAAGTCAACAGAGCATTTCTGTAATCGGTGAGAATAACAGCTCTTGAAAATTTTTCCTAGTGACACTTCAGTTGGGAAAGAGCTGTGCTGATCGCAGCAATTTCCCTGTCAAACACAGTACCTCAGTCCCCATGGACTTAAAGAGAAACAAATTCGGAGAAAACTCAAGAAACTGCATTTGAGCTATAAAAAAGGAGGAATGTATTGGTAAAGATCCAAAGCCACTCTGGTTTGGGGTAAAGAGTATTTAATATTTCGAGATATATTTCGAGTATTTAATATTTCGGTCTGGATAAATTTTAGTTACCTTTTCAACCAGGTCCATTAAGGTATCCAACTGAATTCAGAACAGTAATTTTAAAAAAGCGCGTAAATGTATAATTTTCATGATATTTAGTGTCACTTAGATTAGAATACATGTATAAAATAGTTTTAAGATCATTATATGACGAAAAAAAATTATTTAAATACAATATTTTGGCAAAAGATAAAAAAGAATAACTTTTTTTCAAAACGTTCTCCTCTTATGAAAAATGCTTCTATAATAATAATATATTGTGTGTGTGTGTGTGCTTATATAAAGTAAAGACTTCTCCAGAGAGTCTCAACTAGGATTTTTGAAAAATTCGCGTTATTTTCAGAGCTACCACCAACTGAAATAATTATCCATGTTTTTTTCTTAAAATTTCTCCCCTCTGTTGTAGTAAAATATGTATAAATCCACTTCTAAGTTATATATTTCAAAAATTCTAGTTGAGCCTCTGTACATAGGTCTGCGCTGTATACAGGCAAAATATTATTATAATAGAAGTATTTTTCATAAAAGGAGAATGTTTTGAAAATTGGTCATTCTACGTTCATTTTTTAATTAATTTCATAATAAATTCATTCATTAAATAATTTTTTATTGTAATAATATTCTTACAACAATTTTATATACATTTTCTAACATAAGTGACTCTAAATATCACAAATATTATCCATTTATACGTTTTTGCGAAATAACGGTTCCGAACGTAGTCGGATACTTTAAGATCAGGAGTATATTTTTCAATGCTAGGAATCGATTTGTTGTCAGAGTTGTCAATTTTATGAACTAAGTTGGTAGCACTACTCCCCATCGTTTGTCTAATATTAGGTATTTTACTCGCGGCTCTGGGGTCTACATTCCTCATAAACCAGCAAGTGTAAGAAATTGCAAGTGTAAGAAGAACAATTAAACACTGAGCACTTTCTAAATAATTAATATTGGTATTTGCTGCATGTGTGAATTTCTATTTATTATACAACTTATCACTTTACTTGAATAATAATTTTAAAAAATAAATATTTACCATTCAAAGTGCAGATTAATCTCACATATATATTCTTCATTGTTTAGCTTAATTTTTAGACATTTTCATGTCTAGCGTTGGATATGAAATTTGTAGGTACTGTAACCAGAAGAACACAGAAATGGAAGCTAAACTTTAAGAACTTCTGCGGTAAGTGGACGGTACATATCCTTCAGGTTACTTCAGTGACAGAAATCAATAGTTTTAGCAGAATTCCGTGAAATATTCTGGTAAGATTTTCTTGAAATTCACGAACATCTGATATGTTAAGAGGAAAGAAATACGAAAGTATCTTTAATGAAGTAGGAAATGTAAGTTGCATTTATCCAAAGTGGGGAGTAGAACACATTTCACATGTTTCATACATAAGTAGTTCTGAACCACAACAAACCACCACTGGAAAATGATTATTAAGATGCCGGATATCTGAGAACGAGAATAACTTTCCTGAGAGAATATCCGTGAAGAGATATGAGAAGATGTTTCTCCACTCTATCAACAGGTTGCCCCGAGTGCCCATCTTTCAATACTTCAGACCTGAGGCGTTGCCATCCCAGAACTAAGAAATAAAATTGAAACTTTCCTCAGAATTTTGGAGGATGAAAACGCTCTTTGGAGAGCCAACTATTCTATTTCAATTCCAGAATTGAGTTACGTATTTTGAACGACAGTGTAGTTTGTATATTGAAAGAGTCAGAGAAAAGGTAACAAATATTTAATAAACTTTGTAGAGAATATTTCAGTATCTTCTACATGATAGAACACGCGCGCGAGAATATGAGAAATATATACAATGTTCATACATGTACAGTGTTATTGGGTGTATACGAAGTTAAAAGAACATTAAATAAACATAAAATTATACAGTACGGAATTAATATACATATATATGTTATGTTCCGGACAATATGAAGCTTTTTTAAGAAACTGATTGGTCAGCGAGCAGTAGATACATTATTCCCTGAAAGAAAATCAACGTCAAGTGCCTTGATTTGATTTCGAAAATACTAATTGGGCTGTGTACTTAATTCCAAAACTGCTGAGAACTTTTTAAATTACGTTTTCTTCGAATTGAAAGTGAAGCGTGACAACGTACAAACGAAGGTTATGAAATTTGATGAGTTGAAATTGAAATTGTTATATTTAGAATATATTTTCTGAGAAATAATTAAGTGTTTAATATAAAATTTGTTTTAGATATAATTTAATCATCCTCAC